AAAATGCACCCTGAAATGGTGTCAGCTCGCGAGAGGTAACCAACCTCTGTTTGTCATGCAAAGCTCAGCTGCCTGATTGTAGCCTCCTTGGCCAAAAGAAGCACGACGCAATCATGCATGCACTCATGTAGGTATGTCCGCATGTACATCCCTGGAATTGTAAGGGCCCCCTTTGCTTGGAGACCCCGTTTCTAACTACCTTTGAGCTATAGTCTGAACCGCTCGTATCTCCCTATTAACCCCTATAATACTCCCATATACTCCCCTGTATAACCCCCTTTCAGGAATTTGAAGTATAGCTCGTATCCTCTTGTGGTGCACTTTTTGATCAGCCGGTACTCTGAAGATCAGCAAACCCGGCCTCTTGTTTCAACAATCAAAATAGAATCAAAATTTCAGGTTTCGTTCAACTTGCTGTGGTCTTGGGGTTTTGGGTTCAGGGTGAACCCCCGAAGAACTCATAAACTCTCTCCTTTTCCGCAAGCCCAAGTCCAAATGTTGACCCCTTTGCCTGCCATATACCCCAGCACACCCCCTAAGCCCTAAACCAATAACCCAAAGCCCTGAGCCCAAAGCCCTGAGCCCAAAACCCTAAACCCGTAACCCAAAGCCCTTAGCCCCACACCCTAAACCCCAAACCCTATAAGGATCCCTAAGGACGGCCTTTGGGGCCATGTTTTCCTTGCCGCTCGCTGCGGGATCGTGGGTGTTCACCTTAGGCTGGACTGCCACACACAATGGTTATGGTAATGTAGAGATATAGCCAAATCAGCAATATAGTAGTATAGTAACATAGTACTATAACCAAATAGTACCATGACCATATAAGCATAATCGTTGTAGAGTAAAACAGTAGTATAGTAGTACAGTAAAAGCGTCACCGGCGTTTGTCAGAATTATGATGCCTTTTCTGCTGGGTCTCACTAGTCACTAGTAGGGCACATGGAACTCCTGGCGTGTTCAGGGGCACTCTACTATCAGAAACATACAGAGGCCTTTGGCGTAAGGAACACGTGCATTCGGCAGCAGTCTATAAGGAAAGTACCCAAGCCTTGAGCGTCACCTCTAATGCCAAGGGCCCCTTGTCATGGGGCAGTTTGGGGCTGGAGTGTTCGTGAAGTTCATGTGTGTTCACATCAGAAATCCTCCCATAATCACCACTGTCATCCCTAAGTACGTGCGTAGAACATGGTCATGTTCGTTTGAACCAGTGTAGGCACACGTGGGGGTTCCATAAGGAAGAAGCCCTGATACAAAGCACATACATTCATCTTTCTTCCTGAGGCCACCAGAAAGGGATCCCTAAGTTTGGGAAGCCCCTTACTAATTTTGCATGTAAAACACCCAATACATCCCTACATACCCACGCATGTCCATGTATCATCCCTATGAGCCCCCTTTTGAGGGGCCCCTAATGGTGGGAAACACCCGCATAATCTGTCGCTAAGAATCGAATCACGGCATTTAGGGTCTGCCAACTTAATCACGCACCTACAATGCGGACCCTATGATATGACCATCACATGACTCTCACAGGGACCTTAGTATGTCTGATTACTGCTACCAAAATCCACCTCCAATGCAGGGTCGGACTGTCTTGAAAGCCAACATGGACCCAGTAAGCTTATCTGATAGATTGAAAGACCCCAGCCAACCAACTCAAGAACCGCAGCACTCCAATCCGCGAGCCAAGGAACCCTTAGATCCCAGTCCTGAACCCTCAACCCTGGTCCTCAACCCTCAGCCCTAGTCCTAAACCCTGCACCAAAACCCTGCTCCTAAACCCTAAACCTTAATCCTAAACCTCAACCCAAATTGTAGAAACACAGCGCTCTTTTCGGACATGTATGGAGCTAGTCGGACTAAGGGTTGCTCCCGCTGTGAAGAGCAAAGGCTGCCCCTTATGGACAGAAACTGCATGAAGTCGACGCCAAGAGCTCGCTTTCCTGAGTGCCCAGGCTCCACGCAAACAAGTTCGGAAGTTTCCAACAGTCAGAGATGCCTCTTGGGAGGTTTCTGGTTCCGACGTAGCCGGAAGTGCATTAGAACATGGTACAGTGGTACAAACTGCAGCCAACTAGTTCGTGCAAAAGACTCTACTCTATTGCCCAGCTGCGGCAGGCGGCCAAAAGTTGTCTCCTGGCACGAAGGGCTATGCTAAGCGTCGACAATAAACTTGCAAGAGAACCTGCGGTACGGTAGGAAGCTGTACCTGCCATAACGCAAGAGCCCAAACACCAGTAGGGGAGCAGTTTACAGAATAGCTCTACTACAAGGGTTACGCTAGGATACCCTCCCTGTAGCAGGTGGCTCTTTTTGGGATTTCTCGGAAATGGCCCCTAAAGGCCTATGGATGAACTAAGGTTTTTAAGTTACATGTACGATTTTAGGCGTCCCCTTAATATAGATAGCAATTGCATAGGGATTATTTTGAGAAACTCCCATGTCTACAGCCCGCAACGCTAGCTTGAAAAACCAGCAGTTACCCTCGCCCAAACAAATAAATGGAACCCCCCGTGTAATCTCCTTGTGTGGATGGACACCACGTTAGTTAGAGGGAGGGTCAACGATTTAGAATCCGAGGTAGCGGTCAGCCCGAAGAATGCAATCCCCTTGGACAGGTTTCAGGTTTAGGGAGTTTCCCTGGCGCCACTCCATCTCTCAAAATATTGCGGCAGGGGAGTTTGCCATACATCGGGGTATGTCTATGTCCACATTCGGCCGCAAAGTCTATAAACATTGCCTACATTGGGCTATGAGGAGCCCTACCCCTAGAGACAAGGAACCTCTTATTTCGTAAGCTCTCCAAATCAGGGTGCCGAAAGATTTCCGGTCCACAGGCACAAGCGCAAGGTCCAAACAGCCACAACCTCGACCCTCCAACTATCCTTTATTTAGGCCCACGTACACGCTAGGGGCCATAGAGCCCCTACCTAGGGTACTCAGAGGGTCCGCACCCCAAACAACGCTAGCTGCGAGGATTGTATTGTGTATGGAAAAGCTCGGAAAGGTCCTTCAGCATGATTGCCACGATCATTGTTTGAAGACCTCGGCCATCAGATATCCTAGCTCAAATAGGTTCTTGCCAACCGTGACAATATTTTCTGCAAAAAATGGGATGGCGACGCTGATCGCCATTTCGCCATCTACTTTATAGTGAACCTTTTCATGAAGCCTCACATCATGAGCCTGCGTGGAGGAATCTACCTAGCTTGCACAAGCTGTTTAACTCGAAGCGTGACTGCTACCTCCTCGGTCCTGTTTGTAGACAAGGCAAAAATCTCGTCGCCATGAAACCGTTGCCCCACAACCCTACAGACGGCATTGGAAGGCCGCAGCTGCTTGCAAACCCTGAATCCCTAAATCCTAAGTCCCCGGGCGCAAGACCCCACATCACTAAACCCTGAATCTCTACACCCCCGAACCCCAGCTCCCAGGACCCCCATAATTTTGACGCCCGCAATATTGGGCCCCATGTTATGGCAGTTGTTCAAAATACTCGCCCCAAAATGGCCATTATGTACAGTAGGTTCCCTTTTAAAGTAGGATCCCCCTTGCAGGAAACGTATTCCCCATCGTCCTTCCTTTAGAAGGACCTTTCTTAATCCTAAGCCCTGAACCCTTTAAACCCTGAACCCTAATCCCACCCTAGACCCTAATCCCGAAACCCTAAACCCTAATCCCTTAACTCTAAAACCCTCAACCCTAATCCCTAAACCCCAAACCCTAAAACCCATATCCCCCTTTCACTTCCCCGAGGGGCGAAGAGGGAGTCGCAGGAGGCCGCAGCCAGGAGACCTGGAGCCTTTGCTGCTGAGTTTAGGGTTTAGGGATTTGGGTTTGGGGTGTAGAGGTTTGGGGGTTTCGGGCTTAGGGATATTGATATTATGCTCAATAGTGGAGAATCAGACGGAAAAAAAAAGGGGAAAAAGGGAACAGTGTTTATAAATAGGGTTTCTCTTCTTTGGGGTTTGGGCTTTTGGGTTTACGGTTGAGGATTTAGGGTCAAATTGAGGGGTCCTGGGTGTAGGGTTTAGGATTCAGGGTCTAAAGCTCGGGGCTTAGGGGTCAGGATTTAAAGTTTAAAGTTAGGGTCTGGGTTGGAACCACGGCCATGGGTACTTCACTCCAAACCCAAAACCTTCACCCCAAGCTCCAAACTCCGGTCCCTAATGTAGACCCCAATTCTGAAAACCCTAAGCCCTGGCGCCCGTCTCCCTGAACCCAGAAGCCAAAATCAGAAATCCCAAGCCCCCTCAACCTTTATGCCCGAAACCCTAAACCTTAAAACCTCAAGCCCTAAACCCTAAACCCCCCAAAACCCCTAAGCCCTAAACCCTAAACCCCAAACCCTAAATCCCTAAACCCCAAACCCCGAAACCCTAAACCTTAAACCCTAAATCCTAAACCTTGAACCCTAAATCCTAAACCTTGAACACTCTCTCTAAATGTCCCAGGGGCTACTGCTGGAGAAGATGAACCCGAAAAGGCGGCCTTGCATGGGCAGCTTGCTATGGCTTTAGGGGTTTTGGGTTTAGGGTTGCTTAAGGTTTAGGGTTTAGGGTTGCTTAGGGTTTAGGGTTGCTTTCGGCTTACCTAGACAGCCCCCATGCCAAAAAATGACGGCCTACTTTACCCCAGAGTGAGGTAGCAAATGAGGGGAAACTAGACGATGGTTAGGGGGTACTGGCCTTCTAGGGAAACCCAAAACTTGCAGGAAGTTTCATGGGTAGTTCCAAGTAGGGTTGTAACTAGCATGCAGAAGATCCTAAGGTTTCATACCAAAAGGCTATCCCACTTGTAAGGCCAGTTTTAACTAACTACCCTACGCCTTAAGCCCTAAGCCCTAAACCCTACCCTAAGCACTAACCAGAACTCTCAAGTTGGCAGTTTGGAATGGCTTTGGTTTTCATGTTTATGTCTTCCCCACGTACGGCTTAGCGATTGGGCCCGGGGAGCTTAGAAGCTACCTTAGGGTTTAGGGTTGCTACGAGCTAGTTCTATGCCCATGTTCGCAGGACCTCTGCGGGGCATTCTTGGGAGTAGGACTCCGGGTCAAGAGGCTGACAATAATGGCCAAAGGGCCTACCATAAACCTTACACCTTCGTTACTGCTCCCACCCGCATATGGTCTAGGGCGGTACAAATGAACTAGTAGTATGGGCTAGGCGGATGGGTGGGGGCAATACTCAACCTAAAACCTTATTTCCTGCCCCCATGGCAAACCAACAATGATCGCAGAAGCACTTCAAAGGGGCCCATGTACGATTCCAGGTTTTTTGGGGGAAGCTTCTCCCAAGTGCCTTGGTGTCGAAGGATTGCATCTCGTCATCGCCGTAGATCACGCCGTTGCCATCGACGTCACGAAGTGCGTAGAGATTTCCCTCTTCCTGGGCGTTGGATGGTACTGACTTTGCTTCTTGATGTGGAACTTGAGGGCAGCAACGTGAAGGAGCAACAGCGCTAAGCAACATGGTTACAAGCATGGAAGTCGTTTATGTCAAAGAACAGGTACATCAAGTTGGTTCATTCTGGGCTGAGGGCAGTTGCAGCTGACAAACTTGTTGAACACGACATCACTTGAGGCAGCTCGTGGAGATACTTACGTACAACCTGGACCATGGAGGTCTTACCTTTCATTGGCTATAACCTACATCCAGTGCAGCAAATAGACATTTCACAGCTACGGTCGACATCTGTCCCTCGCACATGGGCAGTATGACGGTCAAGCAAGCAAGGAAAAACCCATGACTAGAACTGCCTACCTCCCTGTTTGCACTATTATTGCCAGTATTACAGTGGCGATATTCCATGACTGCACTACTCTTCTGTTGCGCCGTTGCTAGATTACCATTACATGGCAACTTTACCCCAAGCTTCGTTGCCCACGAAGACGGTTCCCTCTGCGTCGATGCTCCTGAGACCCGTTCCCGCATAGATACTCGGTCAGGGGAATTCAGTAAACTAGGTTTGGGGGTTTAGGGTTGAGGGTTTAGGGGTAGGAGGCGCTTGCAAGTATCGGAATTTTGTATCGGGGTGATTCAAACCTCTGAAGCAGGGTATAGGCCTACTTGGAGGTGAATTGTGTATTGGCGCTGCACATCGGGGTTACGAGAAGTGTGACTGCAGCCTTACAAGCGAACGTCGGGGTAGTTTGATAACCATCCATGAACCTCCAAGCGAGTTGGTGTCTGATTCGTGGTTGAAGCTGGCAAGACTCTTTTCTTCTCCTTCAAGCACCCAAAGCGAAAATTCTTTATTGGAAGCAGGTAAAAAAAAACGGCTCAAGCAGGCTGCGACAGGAAGAGAACCAGGAAAGCCTTGAACTAGAGTGCCTTGATAGAGAAGCCTCATACCAAAAGATTAAGGGGATCACCGGATCTCAAAATTCCAAGAACTAGTGCTTCGCGAGCTCAAGAAACAAGCTAGAAGCTGAAGAAAATGCTGCGCAATGCTGGGCTTGGACAGAAACCTCTTCCAAAATCATGGAGTTCGTGCGACAAAACAAAAATTGATGCATGAAGTTGAACCTTCCTTAGCAGCACCGATGCCTAGCGAACTTGGACAAAAGGTAAACCCTGGCGCCTGCAAGTTTCACATGCCTGTATGTGGAATGCACTCCGTACAGCTCAGCTGGAAAGGTGCATGGACAGTTCTATGTTGGATTGCACGCCCCCTATATGCATATACTCAGTTGAAGCCATAATTGCCTCTTGTTATACCTCGAGTAATATCTGCCCATGGGCCTGAAAGTACGATGCTTTAGCCAGCTGCTCACACGACAAGAGTCGGCGCACTCCATCCGTTCGGGAGGCACATGCCGCGTACACCGCGGGCAGTGCGGAATGCTAGGCCTTCCATGTCTCCAGCTTGAAGGAGTCCTGTCTGCTGGGGTCCATGGAAGACCTGAGCTGTTTCGGTTTGGGGCTTAGCGGAATAACCCCAGGCCCGAGCGCTTGGTAGAGGAATTTTCCGGAGATCAGATGACAACTGCAGGTGTATCTGTACGTAGATCAACTTTTAGAGAAACCCACTAAGTTAAAGTATCTATGCACACTATGAAGGTTCAGGTTGAGGGACATGCAATGGGAATCCATGCTCCTTTGCTGCGGCTATGGGGCCCTCTGGGTTAGCGGTCAGAGGATCGAAGCACTCATCTGTAAGTGAGTTCGCTGGTGAGATGCAATCATACACCCTAAACCATAGACTCAGACTCTGAACCCCTCAAAGCACACCTTGTCATTTTTTGATACAAGGATTCGAAGACAACATCCGTCTCATATGAGCGCGGGGCGAATTGGTGAAGAACAGGACTGCTTATCAGCTATCAATAGAGTCAATAAACATTCCCCAGCAATGTGCTTGGCATGCAGGCCTCGTGCCAGAAAGCCTTAAAACCGTGAGCTAACAGCCCAGTGGCCCATTGAAGGTTTCCATTGTCCGCGCTGTAGACATGGACATCGCAGTTGGATCCAGGCACAACCTGCTCGGCCATGGGACAGCTTGCAATTCTCAAAATCATGCATGGGTCCATATCGGTTGAAAGCTATGGCGGTTGTTGAACATGCTTCAAACTGTCGTGCCCAAGAACTCTGGGACTACATAACGAGCGAAAAAGGTGTAGGAAAATGAGGGGCAAGCTTTCCAGGCTCCGAGTCTGCAGATTCCTTGCGCGCTGTGGGAAATTTAGGACTTGTGACAACTGACCTAGGGGTAGGTTTGAAAATATGTTTTAATCTTAGTTACCTTGGACACCTATAATCCGTATAGAAGAATTACAACTAAAATTCTATAGGGTCGCCACACCTACCGCGGTGAGGTCAGTGGCAGGCCGCGCGTCCCCACAAGAGCACCCCTGAGGAAACCAAGCTGCAAACACTGCAACAACTCATGCAATGCATCAACGACCCGTATTCACGCTTGGAAGGCAATAAGCCAAACAAGCCAAGGCGGAAAGGCCTAAACCCATGCGCGCTTCCGCTGGTAGAGCAATGCGGCTAGCCCTGATCACAAACAATAAATGTTCTATTCCGCAATTGTACGCCAGAACGTTCAGCATCAGTTAGCCTTTGCAGTGGGTGCAGGGTTTGGTGACTGTAAACCCTTCGCGCGCCTGCTGGCAGACAGGCATGACGACAGACAGCCCGTCCAAGTTTCTGACCTGGCATGCGAAGTCTTGGGGGCTGAGGTCTAAGGTTCCACTGCATCAGGGCGGACTAGATAAGTCTAATTGTTTCCGCTACTTCCCCCTATGCGCTAGGATCCCCGTCATAAGGACCCAGAAAGCCCTGGGCAATTGAAGCTCCCTTCTGAAAGGCCGTCCCAACGCAAACTGCCCAATGTTCTGCGCATGTGCTGCAAAGAGTCTCCCCCCGTCCACCGCGTAGCTCAGCGTAACTTCCGAAAAAAAAATATGTTGGTGGAGTCTGCGCTGACTGGCTGACTGACCTGGTAGTGGATTCCAAGTGTGTCTAGTTCGAGGGATTGTGGGTCCAGGAAGGCGTTAGAAACCCCACTCGCAGTCATTATAGAAGGTTACACGAAGACATGGTCAGCTTCCCCACCCCAAGCCCCATTTCTCCTAGCGCATGTAGAAAGTCAGTATACCACCCCAAAAAAGATGGCCTCCAAACGAATGAGGAGCCCAAATAGGTAATAGAAAGTATGGTTCTGAAGCTGTGGAAACCTCTCGCATACCGAACCTCCACCTAGCCCGAAGCCTTTAACCATGGAAACTGTCAGAAATCATGGGGTCCCTGCCTTTCCCACTGCCGGGGCGTTGTTTGGAGGCCGTGGCGTAACAACCTAGCTTGAGCTGAAATGTGGCAAAACAACTGTTAACATAGCGCTACCCTGTGCATATGCAAAGGTGGTAGGGGATTATTAGAGATCCCCGAAAAGGTGGTATAGGTATTTTTGCAAACGGGCTGAGAAGGTGGTATAGGGATAATTTGGCAAAAAGGATCGCACGTGTCAGTTGTCCTGGCGGTCGCTTGTCACACTAACTATGGGATTCGCATCTCCCTGTAACAGCTCTCTAGGGAATTCTTACAGCGCTATCACATCTATAGCAATATCATGAAAATTATCAGACCTTGTGATCCCTCAAAAAGTAGTGAGCATGAGCCAAGCTGTCCCAAAAGCCTTCCAAACCAGATCGCCCGTCTTCCTTGGCTGCACACTGCTTGGGGAAGATGTAGGGGTTTCCCAAATTCCTGGGTACTTTTAACGGGTTTATACAGGTTCAAAGGAGCTCAAAAGGGATACAGGGAGCGCCAAACTGGGGTATCAGCGTGTCCCTATGATACGGACTATCGCATTGAGGTGTCTATATTGGGGTCCCCCTATTTGTTTTGGTGTTTCAGACTCCAGTCCATGCTTCAGGCTATCAGCTTCCATGCTGCGCAGCAAAAGAGCCATTCCTTGCTAGGCTGCCCTGCTGAGAGGGCTCAGGGGTGTAAGCCTTCATGCTGGGCAGCGAAACAGCCAGTGAATGCTAGGCTGCCTTGCTGAGAGGGCTCAGGGGCATCAGCCTGCATGCTGGGAGGCAACGTAGTCAGTCCTTCTCAGGCTGCCTTGCTGAGAGGGTTCCGTTGTGTCGACCTACATGCTGGTTGGCAAGAACACGGGACCAGGCTGCCTTGCTGAGATGCTCAGGGGCATCAGCCTGCATGCAGGGAGGCAAAGTAGCCAGTCCTTCTCAGTCAGGCTGCCTTGCTGAGAGGGTAACCCCACGGCAGAACGCCCGCCGAATAGCTTAAGACTGGCCCAGTGGGTTCAGGATTCTAGTAAGGAAGGTAGGGCCAGGATGAGCCCTGGATAGACAAACCCCTCCCTCAGCGCAAGGCACCCTGCTTTACATGGCAAGGCAGGATCCCAACATCATACGCTTTAGGGTTTGGGGTAGCTGCGCTGGAGCCCCTTTGTATACTCTAGAACCAGAAACATCCGTAGGCCTTTGGAACCCTCTGAGACCAGCCAGCAGATGGGATGCCCTGAAACTCGCAAGTAACATTACTAGATTTGTTCGAAAGGCAAATCCGAAAACTTGCCCTGACAACAACCTGTAAAACCCTACTTGGAGGTTCAAGGTAACCATAACCCAATGATAGCTGCGACGTACAATCCAGTTCCGACTATATTGACCCCTATATAACTCCCTCTATAGCCCTTAGATTACTCATGTATAAGCGCCACTCATAATTGTAGTTTTCATTTTCTTGTCCACTATCCCAAAATATCCCTGATATATCCCTTACACACCCCCAAAATATCCCCTCTATAACCACAATCTATCCCCTAAATAACCCTAACCCCAATCTATCCCTTATATATCCCCAATATATCCCCTATGTAACCCCAATGTGTCCCCTATATAGCCCCCATATAACCCCAATGTGTCCCCTATATAACCCCAATATATCCCCTATATAACCCCTATAAAACCCCTATACCCACCCTAAACCCTCAACCCTAAACCCAAGTAGTCTAAGGGGAGCCCCAGAGTCAAGTTGAAAGCGCTCAGCGTGCCGGGGTTGAACTCCGTCAGACCTCACACTCGCACTGCTCAGGGCTCCTAGGGGTTACATAGGGGTTTGATAGGGGATGTATAGGGCATATGTTGGGATGTATTGCAATAATTTCAATATTATAATGGGGCTATACAGGGATGATGGAAAAGAAAATGGAAACTACCATAGTATAATAAGGTGGTTTATAGGAGTGGTGGCCTCTTTTGGTGTTTGAGACAAGTAAGATTCCATTTCTCATAGAAGATACAATGACCAAAAGGAGGATATAATCTAGCTCTATATATTAGGGGCTATAGGACCCCCAAAATAAAGCACTGGCCGGCGCTATAGGATCTGTATGGAGGTGCTGAAGGGCACTGACATGCTGTAGCGTTTTTACTGGGATCTGCAGGGCTTAGGGGATTACCCTTCCTTCAGGCAACCAGTAATCCCATGGAGATAGGCTTTTGAAGTACAGTGGTCTTTATAGGGCTGCCTTCAGAGTTCCGTTTGAGGTGGGGAAAGGTTAGCTAAGTGTTGACATGACATCCCTGGTCGTGGGCATCTCTGAACAGCCTGGTCGCTTTGTGTACGCCCCAAAAATTATGTAGCACACGCATTAGGTTGGCACTAGACAAGGTCGGGCCCAAAAAGAGACAGCCACGCACAAGGACATGCCGCAAAAACACTGGAAACAGCTTATTTGCTTTTCCATGATCCCTATATACTATATAACCCCTATAGAACCCCAATATGCTATAGTAGTTTCCATGTTCTTTTCCATTGTTCCCTATACAAGATAGGGTTTCGGTTTAAATCCTGAAGCTAAGGATTCCTCAAGGTACATGTATGCAGTCCCCGAAGCCCAAGCATTAGACAGCACCCATACCACATAGGTGCCATAATATAATTCATAACCAAAAGGGGCCCATATTTTTGGGAACAACCCACATGCCAGAACCACAGCTTTGGCTGGGGGGTTCAGAGGATAAGGTAGGGTAATGTAGAGGGATCTCAACAGTTAGGATGGGATGCTTCAAGCGCCGCGGCCTCAGATTTCTAGGGGTTGCCATAGGAAATATTGAAGATGACTCAAAACGGAAGGAGGGATAAGCTTGAAGCATGGACTGTATAACATGCCAAGGGCTGCAGGCGGTCGCGTTGAGCAGTTAAATATGGAAGTTGCTATGCGCATGGGGCGGGCTGTTCTGGGGAAATGTGCAGACAAGCTTTGTTTGCCCTGCCCTTTATTGACCTGGCAATTACATCATCGCATAATATCTTTTAGGGATGTTGTTTTGAGGTTTTGTTTCAGGATCTGCGCGGTAAGGTGCATCTCGGTACACAGCACACCGGGTATACCTCAGAAAGCCATAGGTTTCATGAAACAGTTTTGGTACATAGCCATTAGAGGGCCGCCAACCCTCACTGATGGTTTTTAACTTGAAGTCTCGCAAAATTGTCCGCATCAGACCCCAGCAAGGGATCCCAAACTCTTAGAAAGCCCCAGCTTTCGGATATCTCGTGGATATTGGCCAACCCCCGGAACCCTACACCATGTGGCCCTATGTAAACCCGAAAGCCTCTTAAGGGTGTACGGTTTAGACCCTAAACCCCAATCATCCCCAATCAACCTTGAACAACAAAAACGAATCATGAATCATCCGCAGCCACCATCCAGGGGGGCTTTCTCGTTGTTGTGCACGGTGAAGACCATGCCGTTGCCTAACATAAGTCCCAAAAAGTGGATTAGAATATGTTGGGGTCCATGTTGGAGAAACTGCCGCATGAATTCTGTTCAAAAAAACCTGTCCTCAAACTGGCCATATGGACCCTTACAAGGACCGTCAGAACAACTGTCAGATAGGTTTTAAGGCTTCGATTTGAGGATTTGGGTCTGGGGACTTTCTCAAAACAGGGGCCCGTAGATACCTTAAGGATAAAAAGGGTTTGCTAGCGGGTTGTGGAGGTCCCTGCAATGTAATGGATAGAGACTTTTTGTGGGCACCCAAACACTGTCATTGGTGGCCTGGGTGATTTATGGATCGTGGAAAAGCACTGCCCGGAGTGAAATCCAGATTTTTTGTTTAAGTGGATATTCCTTATAGCGCTTTTCCACTTCACAGCATGATCCCAGTTTCCATGTTCATTCTGCGCGGTTGACGGGTTCATCAAACTCTTGCATATCACAAAACTGCTTCTAGTTCACCATAGAATGCACTAGCCACACAGGCCGGCGCCAAGCCAACCGACATTTGGGCCTCCTCTGCTTGCGACACAGGCCAATCTCCAGGACTAGGCACCCCCAGCAAGCACATTAGCGCATGAGTACGTTGGCCTCTCAAGGTGCAAGTTCCAAAGTTACGCCTCGGCAACTCCCCATGTGCTGCCCCACACCCAGCAGTGTGATGGCTCTCCACCTGTCTGGAGGACTATCATCACTTGGGTAAGGCGAAGAAGATAACAACTTGCTGCAATTGAACGCTGCACTAGCTGCGCAAGAGGAGAATCATTTGATTCTCCTTTATTTCTCCCCAACAGCCTAAACCCTTCCTGGGAGTTGAGCATAGCTACTTTGGGGCCCACAAATGGGCTAAAGGTACGCTTCGATTGGGTTACAACTACCGGGAACCCCCAAGGAAGCCTCAAACCCTGAAACCCTAGATCTCCCCTTGTACACCCTGTAACCCTTAACCCCCTTTCAATTGGTCCTAGAAAACATGCGGAGCCAAAGTTGCCAACGGCTGCGCCGCCATCGGTCCAAGTTCCGTCTAGACCTCCATTCTTCCAGAGAACCTGGCTGCATAAGGCTTAGACCGGAACAGAGGTCTATCTAGGGTCATGTAGGGTTTATATGAGTCATATAGCATTCGCGGGGATTCATAACAAAGGGTTTAGGGAGATTACCCCCATAATGGATAATCAAATGGAAAAGAAGATGGACAACAACATCGAAACTGGGCGTAAATAGGGGTTATAGAAAGCAAGGTTGGGCCTAGATGATTACCGATATCATCTCGAGACCTATCTAAGGTACTCTATACCCAAATTGCATAAGGAATCCAGGATCATAATATTGGAAATTGTTTAAGCCCTGCATTGAGGCTTAGGCTTATGATGAAACACTAATGCAACCAGTGATAACACTTAAAAACGGCTGTAGGAGATGACCTGGAGTCAGGTTTAGGGTCTAGCGCTTAGGGTATTATGAATATGAAAACGTACAGTGTTATCGGTAGCAGCAATTGAAAGGGGCTTTAAACGATAAAAAACTTTACCTGCTTATAGCTTGGGTGGTCCCTGCCTAGGTTTAAGGTGTAAGTTCCGGAGGTCTTTGGCTTAGCCCTAAACCCTAGGGATTTGGAAGGGGCTTTAGGATTTGGGAACTGTAGTGTGGGGCCTGCCCAGTTGATGTCAAGGTTCTGGGTCTGAGGGCGGATCGCTCAACTGGGTTGCTGTAAAAGACCTTAACAATATGGTTCCCCCAATTTTAACCTAGATTAAGTTCTCTAACAGCCACCCAGTCAGAGGATAAGCGCAGAACAAGGCCGCGCTAAGCCAACAACTTTTGATGTGGCAGGTTAGAGGTTCAGGGACTGAACATCCCACGTGCTTTCGGGGTTTGAGTATCTAAAGCTACCGGGTAGGAAGCTTATAGCCGACATTGCATCATCAACCCTAAGACGGAAAACAAAATCCTACACCCTTAAGGAAACCCGATGACCCCAAGCCATAAGCAAGGACCCTGTTGAGCAGGGACTGAGGAGACGGACCCAAACCCCAAGAAAAGGGGCCATTTCTAGGTTACCATCCTTTAAAAAGGGTCTATTTCAGGTTCCATCTTAGTTGCTGGGAGGGTAACCCTACTAAACCCTGAAACTTAAACGCAACACCCTCAAGAGCCGGCTTGCATGCAACCGGGGAACATTTCCGGTGTGAAGGTCGACCTGGCTTTGAACAATGCTTTAGGGTTTAGGGGTTAGGGAACTTGGTCCTCGGGATGTATCAACAAACACTAGGTGGCTCATGGGTTTCTTCAACCCAGTTATTCGGGTCATTCCCCATCAATATAACTGTCCTAGAAGGGGTGTTGCTAAGACACTAGGATAAATCCTCATACCTGTCATTGCAAATGTTCCTGTGATGGCAAACGACCTAACCACTGATAATTGGTATAGAGGATCGCACTATAGACCCAAAATACGAAAACCCTTATCACAATGACCTCCGACAGTGGGAATATCTAATGTCGGGGGGGCAGGGTTTCCTTTTCGGGGGAGGGTATGAATGGGAATGTAGGGTTGTCGGCTTAGGCCCTGATATACCATGATCCTGACCAAACCTGCAAAAAACATGGTCAGACTGATGTGGTGAGTGGTGGACTGACCTGATGATAGAACGGAGAGACCTTCCCCCTTGCTCTTCCCGGACGGTACGGTTGTCTGCGCGGGAGCCTGCAAACCTAATTTAGTGCCGAAATAAGTGGAACAGGGTCTGGAGGCTGCTTATTCCAGCATTATTTGTGAAGGGAGACTTGTTGAACAAAAGCTGCATCATTGTCACCATGCGCCGTTCGCTGAAGGACGGTCACAGCTCAAACTCACAACCCCCATAGGCCCCCCTGCTGCTTCGCAGGACATTCGCAGGACATGCTGGCTTCTGGGGGACTGAAAACTCGGCAGTATATGGGAACTTTCACAAGTTTCTCATTCCTGGGACAAGCACCAAGCAGAGCGATGCAAGCAGGATTGGGAACCTAAACCCTCTACACCTGTTGCTGCAGGCTTGCTGAGGTCCACGCCCGGATGAGAGGCCTAAAGGCAGATCATGGCTCAGACCGAGAAGCCGACGACCCCACTCTATGGAGACAAATCCTCCACACCCTAAATCCTGAATCCGAAATCTTCCGCCCTGCATCCTAAGCCCTCGAATCCAAAATCGCCCAAGCCACTCTGTAGGCTTTGCCAGTGAGGTCTTGGAACACGAAGTCCCCATCATCCACAAAGAGCGGCAGGAAGTTCCAGACTGGATTGTCCTTTGCTGAGTGGTTCCAGGGACATATGGGAATATAGAGGTGTATAGGGGCGTACATGGATATACGGGGATTAGGATTTAGGGTTAGGGTTTAGATTGTCCTTGGCCCTTTTGGAAGCTCTCTTGACTTAGGAAGTCTGTTTAGCAGTGGGGATTATGACCGTTAAAGGGGGGGGGATAACTGGGAAAGTTAAGTAGACTTATTAAGTCAAAAGAGCCTCCAAGCAGGTATTCAGTATCTGGGGCTCTCCCAAGGTTCACCTTTTGGTTTTGGGCTTTGTTTTACCCTGAGCTTCATAAGGTCATCGACTGGATCACTTAAGATTGGTGGGTGTGGATCACAATCTGATTCGGGGGGTTAAAGCCCAAACCCTAAACACGACACCAAAAACCTAGGCCTATGCCTATGGTGCTTCATGAAGAACCTCATCTGCCATAGGAATTGCGATTTTGATCCTTAGGACCTGCGCAACAATCCCATACTTTGCAAAACCCTACGACTTCTGGACCTTGCTCTCCGCAATGCAGATCTAAAAAAGAAAAGAAGGATCCCATAAAGTATTTGCTGTGTCCCTGCGAGGCCATCTACTACCAAAAGAAGACCATGCCCCTGAAATGTATGCTTAGCTCGCCGTGCGGGACCTCGCGGGCACCCTAAATCCTCAACCCCGTCCAACACAGCTAGGTTGTTCGCATTTGCAGTCAATTGAAGCGCTCCGGCACCCAAAGTGATTATATGAACAATATCTCTACAGTAAATGTGCATACATCCTAGGCGAATAGCAAGAAACCGGCAGGATCCTAAAGCTATCCAAGCATGCAAGCCCCAAAGCCGTGTGCGGCGAGACCCTGAACTCCAAGGTAGACACGCGAAGTCGAATGTCTCACCCCAAAGCCCTTGGGCCCGAATTATGCTAAGCCAACGGAACGACTTCATGGTAACATGTTTCAGACCCCTCGTGGGTATCTCTTATGGTCATGTGAAGCTACAAACCAAGGAAGCCCCCAGCAAACAAGAAGCACCCCATGCGCCAGCAAGAGTCTGGCTCATAGCTCCACATCAGGTTTCCCGTAGAAGCATTCAAAGCTTGAATCTGGGCTGCTGTTTGTGTTGGATTAGGACTTCGGAGTGTGAGGCTTAGCAATTCAGGGCTCAGGCTTTCCAGGTCTGCTGGTTGCAGCTTAGGTTGAGGGCTGAGGGGCTTTGGCTTTCAGATAATTAGCCACAATACGTTCCCCCCTATAGAGGAGTAGATATTCCAGTACCAACCTAAATGACACAGGCTTGACTGTTTAGCCTCACGCGCAAGTCACGTGCTGACACGCGCGGCGCATGGTCCTTCATCTGAGGCCATCAGTGCCATCAACCCAGGCACTTGGAACCTTAACCTTCCTGAGCCTATGAACCAAACTTCTTCGTGAGCCTCTAATATGGCGGCTAGAACAGTGCGTGCAGGGCGCCGTTCCCGGAGCCACAGTACGGGAAGTATCCAGAGTCTGCAAAGCAAAGAATCATGGGAAAACTCCCTAATGGGAGCTACAGACGCCACTTCTATGGCCGCTAGCGCATACCCTCGAAGGTTGGACAGCAGATCCTGAGAACCAAGCTAAGGGAACAACCAAACATGGGACCCCAAACCCAAACCACAAAGCCAAACTCCGAAAAAGAAAGGAACTGAAGTAAGACAAACGACCTGAAGCCATTATTTCCCTTTATAAAATGAAAACGCTTGAGGACCCGTGTTTTTCAGCCCAGGAACCCAACTGTGTTCTTCAATGCGCCATGGACTGCAATAAGAGGCTCCAACGTTGTTGGGAAACCCTTGTCAGTAATTCATACACAAATATACATATAGATATATGTGTGTATATATATATATACACGTACATGCATGAGTATATATAAGTATGCCAATAGGGGCCCTGTACAAGCTATCTGGGAGTTTCCGAAAATGGGGGTCGTCAACATAAACACCCAAATATACCAAAAAAATAGGAAGCCCTACACAGACACCCCTTCTCAGTTCTTTGAAAACCTCCTTATAGGCATGCAGAAGTCTGCCCAGGTGCCCTGTGGTTTGCTTCACCCTTGGGGCCCGGATTCCGCCAGTCGCATGCAGCCAGCGCCACTCCCCCCTCTACAAGCGATGTGGGATTCAGGGTGCTACTAGTTGTCATGGTCGTGGTTGTAAACTCGAGAGAAGACTGATACTACTGTAGCAGCAGGTGGCAGTAGTAGCGGTAGCACTAGCACCAGCAGTAGCCGTAGTAGTGGTGGTAATAGTAGTAGTAGTAGTAGTAGTAGTAGTGGTAGTAGTAGTAGCAGCAGCAGCTGCTGCATCAGTAGCAGCGGCAGCACTAGTAATAGTAGTCGTTGTGGTGGTGGTGGTGGTGGTGGTGGTGGTGGTGGTGGTGGTGAGGAGTCTGAATCCGGGGTTAAGGTTCAGGCAAGTATGTGCTTCGGGGTCCCGTTCTTTTGACTTCAGCGCAGACCAGGGCATGACTTAAAGGCATCCTGCACGGCGTTGGGCCTTCTACAGCGCTGCTAGTCCTGAAGCCTTGTACATGCCAAAACCCAACCTGCGATCTTGTCAACATCCCTAAGCCCCAAACCAAGATCTTAAGTCTTAAGCCCTGCCGCCTGAGTTCTAAGCCATGAACTCTGAGCCCCTAAGCCCCAAGCCCTGAACCTCACGTCTTAAACCCTCTCCTTGGCCATGGTAAAGCCATTGTCCTGGCCAATCTCCTTTGCCACCTGCCAAGGTTTAAGCTTCAGGGTCCATGTGCATAGTCCGCCTAAGTAGATAGAATATGGGGTATATGGGAAGTCTATTATCATTCTATGGAAGTCCGTAGTTAACCTACTTCAGTGTGACTTTATAGGGTCTTAAGCGTGCTTGTATTTAGGATGTCGGCTCTAGGAGCAGATCTCAGGTTTAGCATGGTGAATGTAAAGTCATTTCTGTACCCCCTTAGACATATGATGAAATGCTCATGATTAATAATCCCGTGGGGTTATACTCTCGCAAATTGGAAATAAAAAATCCTGTTGAAATAAGAGGTGCGTCATACGCGTTACAGTTGTCACACCGGGGAACGCAGCTGTGCAATGCAAATCATCTCCCCTCTTAGACCCTGAATTCTGAAGACTCTGAAAACCCTAACATCCCCACACTCACGCCCTAAACCCTGAACCCCCGTCTCCGCAATTCAAGGCTTCGTCTGCGAGCCTGTTAGTCCCGCCTAGAAAACAGACATCCCCAGGCTCTCCAAGATTAAGCAGTCCTAGTCCTAGTCCTAGTGGATCCGTTACACATTGGGTTCTGTACATATATGCATAACCATAACGATAACCCTCCTCTTGATATTGGGGAGCCAGAGGGTGGTTGAAGGGTTTCAAAATGGCACCAAACGAAGTGAAGGGCGGTCAGTCCTGGGATTAGTCGTTCTGGCGGGATAGGCATGTTGGGCTTCGTCCGGCTCGTTGCGAGGAAAACGGACATTAGTTGGACAAAGCTCCTGCACGGTCCTTGCATCGAGGACCCTATAGGTCTGTTTGAGTTGCTGTACAGGAGAGTGATGCCAGCCTCTACTCTTCATTGTATGCCCCGGTAGGTCACCAACCAAATTTCCACGTCCCAAAGGCGCGAAAACTTCAACCTCCTACGCATCCCAACCCTAAAGCGTACATACAAAACACAGCATGTTTGACCCAAGCTCTCCCTCGATAAAGATGCCAAACACTAATTCGAGCGCATCAGCTCCATTCAAGGAGTGCGACAACAACAGGCACCACCCCCCAAAACTGTCTTGAAAAAACGGGTGTCTTTAGATAAGGAGGCTTCATGGGCTTCCATGCTACGCTGGAGAGGGTAGGTAGTTCAAACAAGGACTATGCCAGGTCTTCGTCAAGCCCCCGGCCTCATGGGGGTTCCCGAAGTTAGGGGCACTATTGGGGATCCGCATGATAAGCATTTCAGTATTTTGGGGCCCCTTATGTATGGAAACGAACTCTAACCCAAACTGCCATGCTGGCTGTTCATTGCTACATATCCTCCCTCAAGCAACCATGGAGGCCCCGAAAGGGCTCTCCGAAGCCTACTACCCTTCGAGAAAAGAGCTACGTGGGTTCATGCTTTTTGGGGAGGGTAACGCCTAAACCCAAAACCCCGAACCCTCAACTTCCTAAACCGCAAGATAATGCCAATATCCTTCTGAGGTCCAGTTAAGGTATCCTATACCATAGATATACAAGAAAACTAGGACCCTGTTGGTAGCTATTTAGGCTCTTACAGTAAATAAACCCTCTTGTAAGAAGCGGCCTTGGACTTCCACACTCCTGTAACCCTCCCCTGTTTAACCCTTTATACAACCGGTTTAGGGTGGGTTTAGGGTTTAGGGTGCTTTATGGAGTTTAGCCTATGGTTCATAATATAGTAGATGAGCAGATGCGGCCTTTGACTTCCACACCACCTTGCCGGTTTCCATGTCCAGGGCAACTACGTTGCCCTTGGTGTCGCTTCCGATCACCTCCACTCTGCTTTCCGGAAGCTTCTTCACCAAAGGAGCCAGGATAGGATACTCGCAAAGGTTTTGGGGTTTAAGGATTATGTAAGTTTAAGGATTATGTAAGGTTTAGGGTGCAAAGGATACAGGGTTTGCGGCTGAGGCTTTCAATGATTTCAATTTTAGCGCCTAGGACTTGGGCTGAACAGCTTTGTCAAAACAACGAATGCGAGCATTTCGAGCTCTTTGGGGTTGTACATGAGGGCCTGCTTTGGATCCCTCTACAGCTGGAGCCACATTTGAAGTACGTACTCCTTGGGTTTAGGGCTGCCCAGGGCCTGCAAGCATCCTATGGAAAGACGACACCAAAGCAATCGGGGAGGGTAAAAATCACCTAGGAGGCAGTGTTTACAGATGCAGAAAAATATCTCGTTGGAGGAAGTGTAGACACAAATTGGATTGACCCTCCACTTTACCAAATACATTCCCTGGAGACTCAAGCAGATTTGCCAGGGACATGTCGACAAGCCAACATCTTCGCATGAGCCTCAGACAACAATCCTTACATGTTCTCTCCTGAGCCAACCTTCCTAAACCCTACACCCTAAATAACAGTGGCCTCTTCTGTTGGCGTTACCCTGTACCTAACGATCGTTTGGGCCTTCTCCATGTTGCGGCCAGACCCTGAAAACTCAACCCCTATGCTTCACTGGCTGCCGCTGCAAATTTTCTATCTCCCAAAACAGCGGGACCCCAAGATAGACCCCAAAATGCTACCCCCAAATGATACCCCTAATTATGGCAAAGCCCACATACGCATCTACATGATCTCGCGTGCTTACAGTGGATTCCAGGGCCTGAGGCACGTGGTCGGGTCCCCTGCGATGGGGATGTTTAGGAAACATGCAGTCCACAAAGGTCCACACGTTCTGGGAAGACAAACTTGGATCCCACCAGTCCCGGCCCCTCAACAGCATGTCTGAGATGGGCCCAATCAAGCCCAGAACATTTAAACAATGAAAGTCAACACCTCCAAATGTGTCAAATGTCTGACCCTCTGAAGTGTGAGTCCTACAGGCGCCTTGCCGTCATGAAGCGATGGGGCATCCATCATCTCAGCAGGGAGGGATTCATACCTTGGCTACTGATTACTCCGGTCAAAGACTTTAAGTTTGTACCCTTAATGTTTGTACCCCTAAGTTTTGGGTCCCAAATACCCTTATTGAGAGCCATATTCCATGGTTTAGGGACCCAGAACCCAAGGGTACAAACCCTAAGGGTCCAAAGGAAAACTCCCTGATCCGGGCCATCCCTGAGGTCCAAGCATCTGAGCGCAACACCCCGGAAGGCACATCATCAGAGCCGTTGCTCAACTGTCTTCAAGACTGTCTAGGCTAGGGCTAGGGTTTAGGGTTCAGGGTTTAGGCTAGAAGGGCTCCTCATTACAGGGACCCCCAAAGAGGTACCCCTAATTTTGGTAACATCCCAGATAGCTCTTGATGCAAAGCAGTGGCTCCCACAGCTGCTTGCCGGATTCGTCGAATTTCCGCACCTTTGCTTTCGCCGCAGCTTACATGGTAGTTTTTTGGGGGGAAAGGGGGGGATGGTAGGGTTACTGTAATATCTTGGGGTGATATATGGATAATGGAAAAATGGGTTTAGGGTTTCAGGTTGAGGGTAATTAAGTAGAGAGACCCCGATATAGACTCCCAGGTCGAAGATCCTTATTCTGAGGACTCCGCAAAATAGTTCCATGTTTTGGAAACCCGTGCTAAGGTGATTATACGTAAAAATCAGTGCTAAAGGTTCAGGAGCTGCAGCTCACAGCATTACAACAAACTCCGCTGCTGGCCAGGCTGAACATCCCCTCCCTCAAAAACTCACATGGAACCCCATAACACCACCGCCTCTTTCAGGGACACCAGTCGTCCCTGGGCCATTTTTGGAGTTTCATGCCCCATGCGCCCGGAAACACCATCGTAAACATAATTTCACTCACGCAGGCTGGAGCCCCGGCGCGAATCTAGTCTATCTGTTTCCCTAACGATCCAAATAGCTCTATGTAGGTCATGTTTATAGGCTTCAGGGGCCAATGTAGGCATTATATGTATACTTGGACCCCTACGGCGTTGCGTTGCTTTTAACAAACGAAACCACCTTTTGTAAGAGTGCCAAGAACCTTATTCCTTGCAAGACTGAATGATCCCGACGGTGCTTACGAAGCAGCCATTTCAACATCGCTCTTTTGTGTCATACATACTGCAGGATATCAAATACCTTCTTCTGGGTTCCCACCCATGAACAGTGATCATGAAAAAACACCCATGGATTCATGAACCTTCTGGAAAGTACCTATTCCAACATTCCAACCAAATGGAAAGGACCAGATCCTTCAGGAGCCCTAATGAGCCTCAAAACGCCTTTAATACTCCCCTCTTGGGCCGTATTTGTGCCTTCGTGCCAGGGGACCTCTGATTTGGATTTGGGGGTTCCTCTTATGATTCTAATCGGTTATGATTGTAACCCCTTCATACTAAAATCAAACACACGCACACAGGCCTCCCCCCAACCCTAATAGCAAATAGCAACCATAGAAAACCCTAAAGGGAAATATTCAATGTTGGCAGTTGGGGAGCGCAACATGAGCTGCAGTCTAAACTCATATAGTATATACCCCTTGATAAGCCCTATAGTAGTCCCCCATATATTCCCTTCTATAATGCCTGAAGGAGTTTAGATTATGAGTCACATGAGGGGATTATGTTCAAGGCCCGAGGTGCTCCGTCAGCGCCGGAGAGATAGATGTTCCGCTGGTGGTCGATGGCAGTTCCGTAGGTCAAAGTTGCAAACCTCCGATGGATACACCAGGGTAGGTTTGGGAGCCCTATGAAAATGGATTTTTGCTGGCGCTAGAGGGATATGAATTAAATGCGAATTACATGTATAAGAGAGTACTAACAACGAAAAAATATGTTCAAGCCTACCCCAGTATAGGGTTTAGAGTCTTGCACCATGCGGGATACCTTATACCCCCAGATCTATGCCTTTTCTAGGGAATGATACTCAGGTTGGGGTTACCAGAACCTTCTTATTCTGGACTCTGGCTGAGCGAGAAGCTTGACGTGTACCAGCAGGTACTATGGGGATAAGTTGCGGGAAGTCACCTCCCCTACAATAACCTCCCGTCCCCTGATGATGAATGTTCCCGGCATGATATCAGGCCACTATGTTCGAAGCCTGCATGATTGGGGCGGGGGGTGGGAATCGTAATCACGTGCAGGGATTAAGCGAGGTTTGTTGGAAGGAAGCGGTTGAGTTTCCGGTTCTTTTGCGAGAGCGCACAGGCCTCATCACAAACTTATGCTATGTTTTTCTCAATAGACGTTTATAGGGTGGGGCACAAACCCGACGTATGACCCTCAACCCTCATGAACCTACAGAAGGACATGCGGAGCACAAATCTGTATGGCAAAGGGTATGAACAAGGACCATGTCAACCTGACCCCGATACACGCTTTGAATGCCCCACAGCCCTAATCGTCCTACAGAATCTAATTACTAGGGAGTTGTAAGAAACACCATACAAAAACCCTGACCCTATAAAGCCTCTCGAACCCCCGAAACCCTGCTGAACTGCATACCCGGCATCCCAACTACTTCCAATCAGGGCCTTTCTGCCCAGCTTGGTGGAGGTCAAAATTCACTTCTTTTGGGTGTTCTGGAGGTTCAGGCAAACACCAAGCCCCAAAACCCTAGACCCTAAACCCTAAATCCTGAACCCTAAACATCGGATCTAAACCCTTTACCCCCCATCCTGAACCCTAAGTCCTACGCATTCAACCCCCAATCCTAAACTCTTACGCCTTTACCCCAAGCCTGAACATCCCGAACTCTACACCCCAAATCCTGGAAATCCCAAACTCTACATCCCACATCCTAGGCCCTTAACCCCAAACCCAAAATGTACTTTAAACCCTGAATCCCACATCCTAAAGCCAAAACCATAAAAACAGGCCTTGCCGTAATCTCTTTATAATCCTTGTATACTATATTACCTTATTCCCTACTAAGCCCCAAAAAGCAGCAAGCCTTCCCATTGGGTGGGACCAGGTCCAGGCTATCTTCTTCGCGAGCTCAAAGGGCGCAGTGGCGTGGGACACAGCGTACTCTGGAAAGTTGCCTTTGCTGAAGCTTAAGGACCCTGTTGTTGGTAGGGTGGGTATACAGTTAGATGTATAAACAAAAATATGTATATAAAAAAGTATATATATATATATAATACACATACATTCATGTCCATTTACCTGTACATATAGATGGATAAATACAAAAAAATGATATGCCCAGTATAGCCAACACGTTAGGTAATTTGCCAATATCTAAGTTTGGGGGGTGCGGGAAGGGAGTAGGATGTCCTGAGCTTTGGGAAGGTGTGAGCGGTCGGGGCTGTGTTGGGATCTCACTATGAGGGTCCAGAAGCCTCAGGGTTAGGTGCATCTGAATTTTTTTCTCACGGTTTAGCTCTTGGTCTGAAGACAGAGGAACTAATGTTGGTAGCCCTCCCCAGTTCCACAGCCCACACAAAAACGATTGTTGCAAACGCCGACGTCATATACGCGTGCATCCAAAACAGGCCCCTTCACTCTCAAATTCGAATGTCTTGAACCCTGAAGCTTACCATATACTTCCTTGTCGGGCTTGCTATTTCTGGGTGAAGGATTCCAGTACACCACCCAGAGGAGAACTACATTTGATCCCTCTCGTAGACCTGAATTTGCTGCTGGTTCGTCCGGAAACGGGCAAGGAATCCTCATGGCAGTCCCCCTGCACTCCCTTATAATATAGACCCCTGATTAATAAACCCTTTCTTCTTAAGGGCCTTAATATTCGGATCCCTATTATACTCCTTATGCAGGGGAGGGGGTTTGTTAATCAGGGGTCTACATTACCAGTCCTTATACCGCACATTCCCTAATTCTTTACTGAACCACCAGAAAGTAAACCTCACTTTCATCCGAGGGACCGCGTCCGGAGCCCCAGTGGTATTCCACGGCCTTCACTTTTTCACGGGCTGCATGGGAAGATCATGGTGCTAGGCTGTGGAACATGCGCTCATATTGCGCACCTGCTTGGGGCTGTTCCTTCGTACCTCTGACCTCCTTCTGTACAACAGCCATAGGCTGTCCCCTGGCAAGGACCCGTCGAATCAATGGTTCATCTTCCCATCCACAAATTTACGATATGATGTTGGCGCGTTCATGCGCGCTCTGAAGAATTACTCACACGGCGGTAGCACCACAGTTTCGCGAAAACTTCTTTCAGCGTGTAGCCCCCCTCAAATAAGACCCCATCTCCACCTGTCTATCTACTTAAAGGGGGACTATAAATGGTAGTTGGTCAAAGTACCTGTCCCCAAAATAGCCCTTGTAGGTCCCCTGCTTGGTTAGGATCCCCTTTTAAGGAAGTGTATTCCTGATGCTCCCTTCCTTACAGGGACCGTAAAAACAACCCCCAAGTGTAAGGGACATTTGCAAGCACAGCCTGACAGTCGCAAAGCCCAAGCCATCAGTTTAAAGCCTGCACAGGAAGCCCAGACCCGGTTTTGATTCTGCTGAGAAGCCAGCAAAATGAGACCTAGGCTTTATAAACCCTAGGTCTCCTGTTGGTTTTGATTCTGATGGGAAGCCAGCAAAATGAGACCTAGGCTTTATAAACCCTAGGTCTCCTGTTGCTGGCTTCTCCGCGGAGTAGGGCTAAGGGTTCAGCATGAGACCTTCCGTCAGTGTCTGCACCAAGGTAAGCTGGGAAGCAGCCCCAGATCCTGAGCCCTGAACCCCTTGAAATTGAAGACCCCTAAACCCTGAGCCCTAAGCTCCTAAACCTTAAGCCCCTTAACCCTACATAATCCCCTATACAAACCCTATATATCCTAGAGTCTAAACTTTCAGTATGCCCCTGTAGAACCCCTATTGTAGTCCCCTCTATAATCCATTACATAAGCCCCTAAACCCTAAGTAAGCCCCCATCACCCCATGGCCTTCTTTGAAGCAGGATCACGCGCCATGGCCTTGGCCTGGATAAACGAAAGGCCCTGCTGTTCGCCATCCTTGCCTCGGCTTTAAAGGGAATATGGAGTTGCATACGGGGATATAGGGTTCAGGGCGTCCAGGGCTTAGGGTGTAGGGTTTGCGGCTGGGGGTTTAGGGATTAGGGGTTTATCACTTAAGGGCTTAAGGATGGCTTAGGGGTTTAGGGCTTAGGGGTCTAGGGCTTAGGGGCTTAGGGTCTAGAGTGTAGGGATTTAGGGTTTCGGGTGTTGGGGTTTCGTGGAGCTGGGGTTTAAAGTTCAGGGTTTATGGATTCGGGGTCTGGGATTGAGGGCTTTCAGGTTTCATTCGGGTTCATTACGCTCGGGTTTCTTGCCTCTGCTGCATCACCTCCGCTAGAAAATTTACTGCGTGGGAGCAGTTCATTATCAGGGGAAGTGTGAACTTGGCCTGGGAGGGCTTCGCCTTAGAGCTTGAACCGTTAAGGAACCATAGAAGCAACCCGAACAGGGACCTCCACTATCAAGGCTCAACCGAGACCTCGAACATACACCAGGCCCTCCGCCACAGTTTAGAGCCTCGCAGGTCGTGTCTGCCCTGCCTTTCTTACTACCGTGCCGAACTCTTTTACATTAAGAACTACCGCACATCGCAAAACAGATGGGACAGGATAAGAGAAAGGCAACAACAAGAATACCAAACCCAAATCACAAAAAAGTCCTACGCGTTTCTTTCACTGAGCGGCAGTACTACACTTGGATCGTTGTCATGCGACCCCTCGACAGCCCTTGATTTCCAAAGAACCGTTTTGGATCCTGATATTTAATGAATTTTGCTGAGAGCCGTACTGTATCAGAGGCCAAAAAGGGACCATGATCTCAACAACCTACCATATGACTCACTTGAAGGCCTCTGCACACTCTGGCAGTATACTTGCTCTTGCAAACATAGAAGCCTTTTGACATCTGTCTTGGTTTCCTGTTAGTGTTAGAAAAAGATCTAGGGCCTAGACAAGTAGAAAGGGATTTGAAGGCTCAGTGCAAAGCAGTCATGGAGGGCCAGAGAGAGAACATGATAACATACACGTATAGCAAACCAAACCCAACATTGGCTCCGTAATCCAAGCTCTAAGCCGTCAACATGAATAATGTGACAACGTATGTCCAAGTTGTTCCTAGGTAATTCCCAGCATCGCCCCCCCCCCCCTCCCAGTATCTTTTTTTTCGCTAACCAAGAAAAGAATGCTTCAAGTTGACCGCCGTCGCAATGCAGCCTTGTTGGAACATGCTATAACCAAATGTAAGCCATTTGCAGCTGCTATTTAAGGAATACCTAGACCTTTTACCCTTCCCCTTGTCAGGGTGCCAACCTTTACTACTTGCGAGCTACTAGACATTGACATTAAGTTGGGTACCCTCAAAATGTGGTAGGATTTAAGGGTCTAGCCTACGTGTAAGCATAAATCAAGAAGGTATCCACATCTGAGCTGCAGTCGCCCTCCACGGCGTCGGCCAGGCAGAACCCCAGCGACCCCGTGGCAACGGCCGCCAAAAGCGCCCGGGCCATACCAAAATTTCGAGTAAAAGCTTTTCTACGCAGTTTTTTATGGAGGAAAGCTGAGGAGGTTCAGCCAAAGTGCCTGCGGATTGTTTATGGATTCGCAAGGAACTTTTCATGTAAACAAACGATGGATGGGTCCGCAAAGTGGAATCAGGGACCCATGCATGCAAGTGTTTCATACAAGGGTTTTGGCAGAATGGGCGCGCCTAGTGAGATTCTTGGGAGAAACCCACATAGTCTCCTTATCCTTGGCATATGCTCCTAGGGTCCCCAAGGTCCCTACCTTCTGGAAAGTTTCGGGTTTAAGGTTAAGGGCCCCATAAAAAACCCCATCTCGCACTGTGGGATCTACAGTAGGCAGCACCGCTGAGGGCTAAAAGAGTGCTCGAATGAAGAATCCTCTGAAATCCAGTAACCCTGTACCAGCAGACAGGGTTTTTCTGGGTTGGCGCATTTAGGTCCTCAACCATGACAGGCTTTACCTCAGCCTCTGGACTCTAACCCCTACAACCAGTGAGCCTCCTAGGTACCCTTAACAGTTGTAGTCAAAAGGTAGCCGCGGCAGCGAGGAACTGAAAGAGAAATGGCCAGAGCTCCGTCAGGAGAGCAAACCATCAATACCGAATCCCTGCTCTTCTGCCCCTGGTATCGGCCCTTAACCCTGGGACCCTTATCTACCTACTATATACCCTGTGGGTACCCTTAAGGTCCCCCTACAAGGTCTGAGGGCCCATGTTAGGGGCCCCACTTAATTCCTGAGAGCTGCAATAGGTCATGCCAAAATGAATTCTCGAACCTGTGAATCCCTTCGTGGGGTCCTTGGAGGGGAACGCAGGACGTTGGCGATGCTAAATCTTAAGATGCATCTATAAAATGAACATGTGAGCACATAGATTTAGGGCTTTAGGCGTAATATCTAGATTCCATACTGGCCCCCCCAATACACATTTTTGATATGCCCAAGGAAGCCCGCTTTTGCCCTTTCTCAAAACAGAAGCCACTCAAGCCTAAGACTAGAAACACCGGAAGCTGCAGGCCAGTGGCCCAAAGAACAGCATCACCACGAGCGAAGCCGCCCTTTGCTGATTATACTGGTGCTCCAGGGAGAGTGCGGAGGCACTGTAGGTATCGTTAGAAAGGGGCCTTAGAGACCTACTTCCCGACTCAGCCTTCAGAACGCCAGGTTGCTGATCATTGTCCACCCAGAAAAAGGTTTCGGTGTTCAACCGCAGGGTACTTCGGTGTTGCAATTTTACTTGCCGCTTACCAGGTAAGACATAATTCATGACATAAATCGCGCTGGTTCAAGAAATTCATCAACCTTGAGATCAACCGCTTTACCTGTTTTGCTCTTTATGGAACTCTAGTCTAAGACAGCCTTGTTTAGACTGCGTGAAGCTGAGCACATCAAAGACCGTACTGCCAAAGGCCGAGGAAGAGGCAGAGGAACAATGTATTTGGCGAGGCCTAGACCCTAAACTGCCTGGAGCATGTTCTATGTCGCGAAAAACTTTAGCTTGGGGCTATTACGAAACACTCAGTTACACGGTTAATTGGGTATAAGGGAACATACTACGTCGGGCTTATATATGGATCATATTTCCCATTCTCGTACGAACCATGAGTTAGCATACTTGCAACGACAGAAACTATAGATTGGGTACTCCCCCAACAGGGTGACAGTCTATGATAGGGCGCAGTACGGGCTGTACATAATTCCCTTACAAATTCTGTTCAACTGCTACGGAGTCGGGCAGTATCAAAACCATAAAATACCACCTGGTCATGACTTGGGTCTCCCTTCCTGTATTTCAGAAGTGTGTCGACATGAGTTTCCTGCCCCAAAAACAATTCGACCAAGGTTTTCGGACATCTCAAATCCCTTTGTTAAGCTGCTTACTCGTCCCCCGATTTAGGACTCAGAGTTGAGGGTTTAGGTTTTGGAGTTTACTGTTTAGGGTCATGAAAGCTCTATTTCTTTTCGCAGACTGTGAGTTGAAGCTGCAGTTATTCCTTTCTTCACAACTCAAATGACGGATCATCGTCCCTACCCTAAAGGACACCACGAAACATAAAGTAACCATCCGGATAGACCCTTCAAAACGGTCCTTCAGGACTGAATCTACTGGACAGCTAAACCAACCACCCTGAACCCGAAACCCTACAAACCCTAAGCCTTAGACCCTATTGCAAGTCCCAGGTTCGCCTGTGCTCAGAACGCCTGAACCCATTTGGTTCTGGCTGTAGGCCTGTCGGGACCCAACGTGTCGGCTTCTCGGTTAGGGTTTAGGGTTGAATAGGAGTACGTCGTTGGGTTTTGAATCCCTGCCACGCGAAGCACTCCGTACATCATCCTACAACTTTTTGCAACAATTTTTAATGATATTCGAATGCATCTCCTTCTAAACCTCACCCTCTACGCAGGTGAGCGTCGGTTCGATTTTTCTCTTTTTTTTGGCGAAGAGACGCAGACTATCATCTTTCCCGATTTTGGGGACTACAACTTCTAGCGTGGATACTAGAAATCCTGCGGGGACTTACCATACTAGGAACACCCTAAGTTCGAACGTGTCAGCTACTTAGGGTCAGGCGCGCAGCATCTGTAATTTCGACCGTTTCTGAATTCATTGCTGAACCCTAAACCCTCAAAAAGTTTAAAGTCACCGTTAATACGATAGAATAGGGCTTTGAGTATATTACAAAAAGATCCCCATATACCCCATATTCTATCTACTTATGGGGGACTATAACCCTAACCCTAAATAGTAGTTTGCATTTTCTTTTCCATTATCCCCATACCCCAAAAAACCCTTTAACGGATACCCTAGACCTCTATACAACCCCGATATTCTCTCTACTTAACTATAGGGCTTCCTGTTGGGAAGGCCTCCTGTGCGGAATCTGCAAGCGCTTTGGCAAGATCTCAGCTTGCAAAGGCCCAGATGTGGCTCACCTTCTCTCTTCATAACTGGTCTTATAAGTTCGATAGCAAAAACCTGAACCACCCAAAATACAGGTAACCATGGCCTCTGAGCCCCAAAATTATGGGCAGATACTAGCAGGACTTGTGAAAGAAAGCTGCTTGGAATAGATGCGTGAGCAGCTCGCCACAAGAACTAGGGAAACACAGGCGCGGTTTGAATATCCAGGATCCCTAGAAGCACGCACTCACTAAGACTGGAAGAAAGCGCTACCTCATACGATCCTGTACAAACACCCCATTGCCAAACAGGCACCCGGTGGCAGGAAGTTATCGAGCACCACGAAGCCATGATCCCGCAGCATCCTCAACGCAGTGAAGGAAAAGTAAGGTGACTGCGGGGGAAGGCTTACAATTTGTGGTTTGAAGGTCTTGTTTGGAACCCCGCAATCACCGGTTCTGCAGACACAGCCACCTACATAACAGGCACATCCATTGAAGCCATCTCGAACATTTAAACATGCAGGCCTGCACAGACATCGCAAACTGAGCTTCAAAAACACCGTGAAAACAGCTTTGAACCGCAAGGATGACTGCTGGCCAATCCCCCCCGGCCGAAACAGCGATCTGTTGTGCCCAGGCTACGGCCACCTACGGCCAGTTGCACACACCGCCACCTGCTGCCAAAAAAATGGAAACCACCTAGAAAGTCAGACCAACAATTCATACGAAGGACAAAGCCTGACCCTTGAAGACCTCTTCTGAAGCAAAGACTCGAAGCCACGTTCGCAGCGTTTCCGCCCTGCTGCCACCAGAGTGCATCTCCAGAAGCTGCCTGGCAGAAGTTGTACAAATCTAGAGTCTCGCTGGACACCGACGTGTCCAAACCCTGAACCATTACCTAGTAAACTACATATATCTTCTAGTCCAATATTTCCACACTCAAAAGTGAGCATAATAGCTTAGTAACACTGCGAGCCCACAAGTCATACTGGGTTTAGGATTTGAAGCAGGGGTTTGGCAATTGGGGGTGTGTAGGGTCTCTGGACATTGCCACACCAAAAGGCATGGACTGAGCATTCATTCAAGCCTTCTAGACAATCAATGATGCTGCATGCCTTTGTCTTGCTCTCAACGACATCAGTCTCATCACGCTGTGTCTACTTAGTCTTAGCTGCCCAGCATCCAGGGCTTTCCCAAAGTTAACCACTTGGTTCACAACGAGGCTTTGTATTCAAAAGTGTTGTATATCCAAACAGCAAAAGCTTGTCCACTGGAAAGGTGAAACCTTTTGGGTATGACCGGCTCTTCTGTTGGACTTCTCTGCCCAGACCCGAAAGGATCCAACAAAATGCAACCCCCAAAAAATCCACTAGTTACCCCAGTGTAGTAATGGGCTTATACTGGGGGGGATCTTTTGGAATCCTTAAACCCTAAACCCCATTTTTTAGATCCTTGAGAGGGGTCTGGGCGTGGGGTCAGAGGTCGCTACATTCGCGCCTCCAGCTTTGACTTGGCCTCCGTGACCTGAGATCTGCGAGCAGTCCATAGGGTACTAGGGCTTAGGGTTTAGGTTCATCGTGATCTATATGAAGCCCAGGTAGTCATAAAAATGCACCATGTTGTTCCACGGGGGCTGGGGGTCTTAGGTGTGTCAGGTTCAGGCGTGTTGGTGATGAAGGTTCAGAAGCCCACGGTGTTGAGATTGGGTTCTATGCTCATTCCAGGGCTTGGGGCCTAGGACGAAACAACGAATCTTGTTGAAGCGCACTTCTTGCGTCCAGGGATTTTAGAGTAGAGAGTCAGGGACTGCAACCCTGTAGTCGTCCCTACATAACTGTTGTAATCGCTCCATACTTACCAAGGTAATCCCTTTCTGGCCATGAATCATGTATGGTAGTTTCAATTTTCTTTTCCATTGTCCCGGTAGAACCCCTATGTATCCCTCCATAGCCTCTGGTAACTTCCAGTTTCTTTTCATTTCAATTATCGCAACACGGTTGGTCCCATACTCGCTTGGCAGGCCCGAGCCACGGCCGCGGCGCGCGCCGCGCCCGGCCGCAGAAAGCGCCAGTATTCGAAGGCGTAGGCGTCCCACCAGCTGCCGGCCGTGATTGAGGGGATAAAACTACTCGCAGGGCAGGGGGACTTAGTAAGTAAGTTAGTAATGTGGAGAACTGGGGAAATTATGTGGCTTAAACGGTTATAATAATACTTACTAAGCCCCCCCTTGACCAGCGGATACAGCATAAGTAGCGTCTAGGATTTCTGGAGCAACAGCAACAGCATTAGGAGGAGTGCAGCACCAGCAGTAGCAAGAGGCGTGGCAGCGGCAAAGTTGAGAGGGGAGGAGGAAAGGGGAGGACAAGGATTGGGGTGGTGTTCCAACTGAGGGGCCCTGCATCTATGTGTTGTGGGTCCATCTTTGGATGAGGAGGGGGTTGCGGGTTGCGTAGTGGATAGGCAGGGCCTGAGTTACTAAAGAAACACTCATGACTAGGTTCTCCAAAACCTTGGAAATTTTGATACAACAGGATGCTCAGGCATTTTGAAAATCGCGCGTACCAGCAGTGAGAAAGCGAAAGACCAATGCTAGGTGACAAACTCAGAACGACGGAGGAAAATTGAAACAAAGCTCCGGAATCCAATGTCGCCCACCTGTCGCCCAGCAGAGTTTGCAGGTAGCTCCACGTCTCCTGGCACAACTTTCCATGATTGTTTGCTCTTCACGATGAAGCATGACTGTGCAACGCAGCCCGTACACCATGGGATTGGCGGTTACAGGCATTATGGTCTTTTGAGCGGTTACAAAAATTCTTTGTGAGATACGATGATTGCATGATGTTCCTCCCCAATTCTTGAGACTGCTGCCGACCACCCGAAATCATTCAATTTGAAAGGAATCCAATACCCAAACCATACTAGGCACTGGGGTTAAGTCGACGCAGGTTGTGTGAAGTCGGCTCTCCCCAAGCTCACGCCCAGATTCGCGCGAAGTCGACCCATCCGCAAAAAGTCGACTCACACACCGGGATCTGCAACTACACGCTGGTTTGAAGGAGCACAGCCCGACATGTCAAATCTGCGCTTGGCACGAGACTCTTCGAACAAAGTGAAGCAAACGTGCACTGAAACA